TATATATATATATATATATATATATATGTAGAGAGAAGGGGTAGCTATACTACGGCTTTTCCGGAGCATTTTCATTCCCGGGGTGCATTGAGGCTCAGGCGCAGCAACCACAAGCAGAAAAAAAAAGCTCAACTGGTGGGTGTGGAGTTGGAGATATCTTCTCTACTTGTGTGCATGCAAGGTACTAGGGGTCAAGCACGTGTGTAACTACCCTTTATAATGTTAGTTCACGCAGCACGGGGTTGTTAACTGTGTGTACACCTGGGGCTGCCTGCAGCACTGGTTGCAGCAGGGTGCGGGGTGGCTCTCTCCCGTCCCCTCGTCTCTCTCTCCAGCTTAATATATAACAACAGCGGAGACAAGACTGCACTGCACACCCCTATATAAACCCTACAGCCCCCGCATGCATGGCCTCTCCTCCGCTTACAACAGAAAACAAGAATCCTAGGCTCTATGGCCCGGACACGGAGAAATCGAGTCGGTTTCTGTGGATGGCTCGCGCGAAGCAGTTCAGCAGAAGGGTCTCCGCGCTGTCTTTTTGCAGTACACTTAACGGAGTGTCTACAAACAAAATTTTATAGAGGGGGAGTGTACACCCCGCAGTGTAGAGTTGAGCTGTGTATAATATTTTTGCTGCTGCTGCTGCTCCTCCATCGCGGGCACAGACGGGCTCTTATCTTTACTCCTCCGGGCTGCCCGCCGCTCCTCTTTTGCTCGGTGCCAAGCACATGCATCCCTCTACCCATCGCTAGCTTCACACCTCACCCAACAGCACTTTCATTTCCCTCAATTTCTGGGGCGGTGCATGCACCACCGTCGGGGCTGGCAGAAAACAAATCGGAGAGCACAGCACTGTTGCTGCTGCTGCTGCTGTTCGTCAGCGGCTCCACAACAAACTTTTTTTTTAATTGGGGTGTATACACTAAAAGGTGCAGTTCAACCCAAGCCCAAGAGAATGAGTATCTATCTACCGCTAGCAGCGGCAACGCCACTGAGTTTCCCTTACACACACCGAGCTAAGAAGAAGCAGGAGCAGCAGCAGCAGCAAGCAGCATCGGCAGCACAGCAACGCATGACAGGCTGTCTCCTCTCTCTGCGAGGAGCTGGCTTTTCTATCGCTGTATATATTAAGGATATGTTAAGGATTGATGCCAGCTGCTTTTTCTTTAATTTTTTTTATATTGATTCAGTTGCAACTCAAGCTCGACTTGTATTCTCTGCATGCACAGGGTGTACAGGCAGGTGAAGATACACCCCAACCCTAGGCGCAACGGCTCCCTATACAGCAGCAGCTGCTGCTGCTGACGTTGCTGCTTCCTGCTGCTGCTGCTTCACTTCTGGCTGCTGCTGCTGCTACGGCTACCGCTCCTGCTGCTGCTGCTGCTGCTGCTGCTGCTGCCGCTGCTGCTGCTGTTGCTGCCGCAGGAGAGTGTGCTTAACGTTGAGGGTTGTAGGAGTTTTTTGTGTAGACCCTAAAAAAAATATAAAAACAAAAGACGGGGGTGTTTGTGTTTTCCTTGTGTGTGTGTAGCGTTGGTAGTATAGTATATATATTATTAAGTTTGTTTTATAACAAAGTTTATATAACAATTATTATTATTTTATTTATTATTTTTGCTGCTGCATGCAGGAGAACAGATGAAGGTGCGCTGCAGCCAACGACAGCAGCAGCAGCAGCAACAGCAGCAGCCAAGCTGGGGTGTACATGCAGCTGCTGCTTGTGTGGTTGCATCCTTCCTTGACAAAGAAGACGAGCAGCAGCTGGCTTCTGCATGCGAGGCAGCAGCAACAGCAACAGCAGCAGCAGCAGCAGCAACACCAC